GCTGCTCAGCGTCCCGTCGATCTCTCGTTCTCTCTCTTCATCTTCGAATTCCTCCTGCGATGGCCTGGTGAGACTGCTCGTACGCTCCTGTGGTGTAGAGTGGCCACCAATCTGCCCTGGAAACTCTCGCAGCGCGAAAATAATAATGCACGGGAACTCGCGCGGAATTTCCACGAGACACGCAGTCTCGTGCGGCAACAAAACGCACGCCTATGCGTCCGCCCCCTAAATTAGAAGCATCCAGGACGACAGCGGCGCGCCTCGGTCGGGCCCTGACGACCCTTGTGACGGACGAAACACGTCACGTCACAATATATATATATTTAAAATATACTTAATATATATTTATATTGCAATAAATAAATTTTTTGATTTTTTTGTCAATATTCTATAATTCATTCACTATTACCCGACGCGCGAAAAATTTTTTTGCTTTTCCGTTTTTTCCTTTTTACCAAATACAACCTTATTGAATGAAAATCTGTTCAATATGAGGATACGTAATGAAGAATATTTATAGTTTCTATTTCCATACTTATATCGCTTTGAACTTGGAAAACTATTCAAGGACAATAAATGTCCCTTAGGTGCACACAGAATTCACCCACTTTCCCCTACAGGTTCTTAAAAAAATCCAGAAACGATTGAATATCTCGAAAACGAAGCAATTTTTTAGAAAAATATTTCAGAAAAATTGTAAGGTTTAAAATGATGGCGGCCATTTCTGTGGGAGTGTGCGTGATCTTCTTAGGTGGGTGCCCTGTGTTTTTCCCGCGTGGTCGCTTGGTTTCTCGTTGTCTAATTTCTTAACCCTTTGCGCCATGATGGGTCATTGAACGACCCACCTTTTTACTTACATGTTTTCACCGTTTTAACTAGTTTTTTAACAGTAGATATCGGATTTTTTACGTTTCTATGTCTATAGAACATAAATTAATATGAAAAATGCATTATTAACCAGTAATTGTTAGTTGTAAAAATAATATAATTCCACAAATATTCGAAATTAGTGATTTATCTCAAAAAAATTTATTTTTCAATAACTTTTTATAATATTTTGATCAGGATTTTTTTTATAAACGCAGTACATCCTAAAGTATTTTCTCAAATTTTTTCAGATTTTTTCAAAGTTGAATTTTTGTAAAAAAAATGCTAATTGTATTTTTCATCGCAAATCCAAATTAGCTATTACATTTCTTTCAACTCTGTTCTTGAAGTATTTTTTATCTCTAAATTTAAATTCGTGTGCAAAAAATTCAATTTCGAACCATTCAAGATGGCGGAACCAACATAGCAGACAAAAATATTTAAATTGACAATTTATGTTTGAATTTATGTTCTACTCACTCTTAGCATTACCCGAAACTAACGACGAGGACGTGGCGAGCTACTAGTTCCATTTAAAAAAATTTTTTTTTTTCGTTTTTTTTGTATTTTTTTATTTTTTTGTTGCTTTGGTTTATTTATTTTTTGTTTTTATTAGTTTTTTTGTTAATTTTTTGTTTTTTTGCAATGTTTATAGAATCTCATGACTAATATTATTTCGTGAGTCACGAATGAAAGGCCAGAAAGCAATTTTTATCTGCAGACACACAAAGGGGTACATTGCACTGTGTAAAAATCCAAGTGGTTCTTTTTTCTTTCTCCTTGGTACTGCAATGAGCACAACGACGACGTTTCCCTTCAGAATAAAGGCATATGCGCGGATGCGAAGCGTCTTTTTTCTACAGAAACTTGGGGTTTGTGCGGTCCAACAATTTTTGATAAACTTTTTCTACCTTTTCTTGGCGATAAAATTCCACCTATCAATCGATGTACAAGAGCTAATCTAAAAGTTTTCAAGGTTAGGTTGTCTTTATTGCCTTTTTCTTTATAAATTATGTATGCATTTGTTACATCGAGAAGGTGCCAAAAAATTCGATGCCACCATTTTTTCGATTTTCAGTTGATTTGGTAGGTCGATTTGAGCATGTCTGCTTTGTCCACATACCCCATATGCTTGTTGTAATCAGAAACGATGGTAGGACAAGTTACAGCAAGTAACGAGCCATCTTTTTGTCTGCGATTTACCGTTCTTAATTCGCTAGGATCATGAAAGTTTGACAAAAATGAGACAGCGTTATTATCTTTCCATTTTATCCAGCGTAAACCTGAAGAAGTTCGATACTCATGCTGACCTCTGACCATATTTTTATCAATCATTTGAAGCTTTGGTAATCCAACACGGCCTTGACGAACAGTCCCACAAGCTAAAATTCCGTCTGCTTTCAAGGAAATCACGAGATCTACGCTTGTAAAAAAATTATCAAAATATACCTGATGATAACGAGCAATGATTTCTCGCGTAAAATCTCGTAAAACTCTAGCGCCTAACGATTTTTCCGCGGTATCGCTTGATTTACCGGTATAAATCTGAAATTCACAGACATAGGCCGTCTCATCTGCTCGCACCCAAATTTTGTAACCTCTTTTTATAGGTTTTGCAGCTTTTGTATTGTTTCATTGTGTTCCTACCTTTGAATTTCACCATCAATTCGTCAATAGCTTGATATTGATTAGGTTTGAAACAATTTTTTAAATTTTCATTCAGTTTTGTCACCATCGGTCTTATTTTATATATTTTGTCATAATTTGACTCACCTTTTTTTGGTTCTTTGCTATTGTCATTTACATGCAAATGGCTAAGATAGGAACTGAAGCGATTGAGAGTCATAATATTGCATATATATGGATCATTTATCTGAGGATTCATGGACCAATAATCTTTATATGCTGGCAGTCTCTTGACACCCATCAATATGTTGATGCCCAAAAATACAAGCATGTCATTTTCTGACACTGCTGTACTTTGACTTTGTTCTCGATAGAGGTTGGTTCGATCAACTAGAATATCAATCAAATCACGAGTAAATAAACAGTTAAATAAACAGCGGTTCTTTCATCTGAAGTTGACAATTTTTTAGAGTGCTTTAATTCGTTCCACCCAAGGTTAGAACTAACCCTGGAGATTGGTAACGAATTTTTAAATTTTCTTGACATCAAAATGACGGTTAAAAACAATTTTTTATCTTTTGACTGGTATCATAAACCTAGTTTTTCAGGGAGGTTTTTAAATTTTTATTCCAACCACCCGTTAACTCAAAAAAAGGGCGTTATCATCAGTTTGGTTGACAAGGCTATCTTACTGTCTGATTCAGAATTTCACAATAAAAATTTGACTCTTATAATTAATATTTTACGAAATGACTATCCGTTAAAATTTATATTTGATGTGATTAATAAAAGACTAAAGAACATCAGAGTTAGAGGTGCAGCGTATAATAATCAAGATCAAAATAATGGGGACCAAATAACCAATGTTTCATGGTTTACAGTGCCATTCATTCCGTTAGCAACAGAAAAATTTAATCAATTCAATAGGAAAGATATCAAAGTCTCGTTTTACAGCATGAATAAATTACAGAAATATATCAAGGTACA